ATATGGCAGTACAGGTTGAACATAGTATACAAAATTAATATACAGAAATCAGTAGCCTTCCTTTATATCAACAATGAACAGACTGAGAAAGAAATCGGGAACAGTCGCATTTATATCCTCAAAAGTACTTAGAATAAATCTAACAAAGGACACCAAAGACCCTTTTAATGAAAACTATAAACCACTGAAGAGAGAAATCAAAGAAGATATCATAAGATAGAAAGATCCCCCATGCTCATGGATTGGTAGAATCAACATTGTGAAAATGGCCATGCTACCAAAAGCAGTCTACTTGTACAGTGTAGTCCCTATCAAAATTCCAATGACATTCTTCACAAAGATAGATCAAGGTCAATCTTAAAATACATATGGGAATGTACAGGAAAGCAATGCAAGTCAACTTCCTGTATAGCTATCCTTATCTCAACTAGCAAAAACCCTTGGTCCTTCCTATTATTGCTTATACTCTCTCTTCAACAAAATTAGAGATAAGGGCAAAATAGTTTCTGCCTGGTAGTGAGGGGGTCGTGGGGGAGAGGGAGGGAGCAGGGGGAAAAGGGGAGAAATGACCCAAACTTTGTATGCACATATGAATAAAAGAAATAAAATAATAATATAATAATAATAAATATATATGGGAACACTAAAGACCTCCAATAGCCAAAGCAATTCTGAGCAAAAAGTCCAATGCTGAAGGTATCACAATATCCAACTTCAAACTATACTTCAGAGCCATAACAATAAAAACAGCATGGTATTGCCACAAAAACAGACATAAAGACCAATGGATGAGAATAGAAGATCCAGGCATAAACCCACTCAGCTATAGCTAACTGATCTTCTACAAAGGAGCCCAAAGCATATGATGGAGATAAGACAGCCTCTTCAACAAATGTTGCTGGAAAAACTGGATATCCACATGTAGAGGATTGAAACTAGATCCCTGTCTCTCACCTGTACCAAAATCAACTCAAAGTGAATCAAAGACCTTAATACAAGGCCTGAAACTTTGAAACAACTACAGGAAATAGCAGGAAATACACTGGAACTGATAGGCATAGGGAATGACTTCCTAAGTAGAACTCAAAAGGCTAAGAGAAATCTAAGAGAAAAGAATGAACATCTAAGAGAAAGAATGAACAAATGGGACTGCATTAAACTAAAATCTTCTGCATAGCAAAAGAAACAGTCACTAGATATGAGAGACAGCCCACAGAATGGGAGAAACTCTTTGCCAGTTATTCATCTGATAAGGGACTAATATCCAGAATTTACAGGGAATTCAAGAAACTCAACCCCCAAATAATCAACACCCCAGTGAAGAAATGGGCACTCAAAGGAAGAGGTGTAAATAGCTAGTAAATACATGAAGTGTTCAGCTTTCCTGGCTATAAAAGAGATGCAAGTCAAAACTACACTAAGATTTCATCTCACCCCAGTAAGAATGGTTGTATTCAAGGGCAATAACAACAAATGCTGGCAAGGATGTGGGGAAACAGGAACCCTTACACACTGTTGGTGGTAATGCAAATTAATATAGCCGTTATGGAAAGCAGTGTGGAGATTCCTCAGAAACCTAAAGATAGAAATATTAGGTCTGTCTTCACCAGTGATATCACTCCTGGGCATATACCCCAAAATGTGTTATATATGCAGTTTTACACAGCCATAAGAAATAATGACATGTGGTTTGAAGGTAAATGTATACAATTGAAGGACATCACGTAAAGTGAAATAAGCCAGGCTCAGAAAGACAAACTCACGTACAAACTCATGTAGAACATGTTTGTAATAGTGGAACTACTGTATGGAACTTGGGAAAAGAGGGACAGGAAAAGAGAATGATAGAGCATCAACAATATTGTAAAACAACATCTGTGAAGGTAGAGGATATAAGAATATGTATTGAAAGCTGTTGAAAATGGGGGGTGGGAGGTAAAGGGTTAAGGGAGAGCAATGGAGAGGGTTGAGCAGACCAAAGTAAAGTACACAGCAGGGATACATTGAGAAACCCCTTTGAACATTGACTTAGATATTAATAACGAAAGCAGGACTGTAAAGTAGGTACAGTCTGTGTTGAGGGGAGTAGTTGTAGAAGGGGGGAGGATGAATGTTTAAAGGTGAGGGAATATGGTTGATGCACTTTATATACTTATATAAAATAGAAGAAAGAAACTTCTTGCAACTGCTTTAAATGGGGCAGGGAGGAGGTTGAGGGGGAGAGACAGCGGGAGTGATCTAACCAATTTACAACATAAACTTATTTGGAATTGTCACTGTGAACCACCCTGTACAATGAATATATCCTAATTTTAAAAATAACAAAATGTAGGAGTTGAAAAAATGGATTACAAAAATGGAATACATAGAATAGAGGTTACGGATCACTTGGTCTCCTTTCTTGTGCGTCCACGGTGTTACACACTTTGTCCATGTTGTCTCCTCCATACAATAACCATGGAAAGTAAACATTACTACTCATTTTATTAAGAAAAGATGACAGCCTCTAAGTCATACCAGTGGTGAGTGACAAAAGAATTTTTCAGACGTAAGCCTATCTGGTTCTAAAGCCGACTGTTCTCATCTGACTTAGCAAATACTTTTGTCCATGAGATCAAGCAGGTGGAGACTGCATAATGGTTAATACCGTAGGTAGACCGTAGGTAGACCACGGAACTTATTTGCCTGGTTCAAAACCTGGCTTTGTCAAGACTCTGCCACCTACTTTCTATATCTTTCTGTGTGCCACATTCTCATCGTCTGTAAAATCAGGATAATTAAGGTACTTTCCTTTTCAAGTTGTGAATCACTTTAGTTAACATATAGTAAAACATGTAGAATTGCTCCTGACGTACAGAAAGCAATACATAAATTACTATGTAAGTATTTACTGCTGCTATCATTATTAATCGCTTGCAAAAGGTCGAATCTCTGCGAAGTTCAAGGAAAATATTGTCATACTGTTGCCGGAGCCCTTTCATCAGTGTGACAAGCTCAGACTTCTCTCCAGGTTTGCGTATTAGAATTTGTACTGTGTGGTCACCTCTTTAATTCCTGACCAGCTCCTTCCCAACACACACAGACTCACCTTCCTCTCCTCCTTTTCTAGAATTGAAGACCAATTCAGACCTTCTCTTTAATATTACTGTAAAGGAATAAAGATTCACTGTAGCTAATACATAAAAGAGGATTCAGTAGCCTCCATTAAAATATGCAGTTCACAGCCAAAAATTTAGTAAAAGCTCCTGTTTTATATTTTCTTGTTCCAAACTAGAGTACTTCCCAGCCTCCCTGAAATTCAGGTTCATAAGATTTAAGCTGATTATTAGATGATAACGAAGAGTGGGACTCTTCTGATGATTTTTTTTCTGTTATTATGTAACTTTAATTATCTTAACTTCATTTTCCTAGGAAGTTAGAACTTCTTTTTAAAAATCTCTCTGGCTTACTGAAGATCACCTGCTTGGTTAAGGGGAAAGATAAGCAGTGAAAGAGTTATAGCTGTTACTTTACAGAGAACCTGAGAATTTGTCTTATTTATAATGAAACTAATGAAGGGTGAGAAGAGATCCTGTCACAAATTTTTGCTTAGAGGCTCAAAGGGCAAACATTCTTAAGTAATAGATTAACTCATTATTTTTGGCTATGTTAAATTAAATTAATTCTTTCCTCAAAATTCACCAAGTCTTAAAAATTTAATGAACTATTATCATACTAATTTTAATATTGCTTTTTAAAATCACATTCAGGAACTATTCTTATATATTCATGTATTCTGTTCATGTGTCCTATACATGAATATAATCTAATCTGTTTGATTAGTGCTAACAAGAGCATTGTTCTAAATATTAATTTGTTATAATATTTTACCCATTGTTTTCTCTTTTAAAATGATGCCATTTATCCCTTGTATGACAACTGTTTGTAATACTTTAAAAAAAGAAAACGTGTCCTGGAAAGTATTCCTAGCATTAGTTTTAACAGAAGTCAGAAAGTTCAGTCATCATAACAAAAGAAATACTGCGTTCAAGTTAAAGCTATATTGTTGCCTAGAATGGCAGTGTTTTCCATGAGTAATAGAAAAGGACAAGATTTTTGCTGATGGCATTTATTTCCATTTGTTTAAATGCATTTTAAGCTCATTTGGATTTGAGTTATCCTTTCATTCTCTGCGCTTCTTCTCTACCTATGAAGACAAATCATTTTTTCTATCACTGACCCTTACCATCATCAAGAGCAAATAGGATCACTTCATCTAAGCCATACATTTTCTGTGTCAGTTGCTATCTGTTTCCACAAGTCATTTAAAACTGTGGCATTCTTTTGTTATCAGAGAAAATGATTAAGATTGCAAAGTAGAGGCTGAGCGCATAGCTCAGTGGTAGAGTACTTGTCTAGCCTGCACAAAACCCCAGGTTTCTCCCCTAGCACCATTAAAGAAAAAAGAAAAAAAAAAGATTGTGGAATAAGATTCAGATGTAGGAAGACATAGAAAGAGGAGGGAGCCAGATCATCAAGCCTCAGAATTTTGAGAGTTGTCACTTAAAAAAAAAACCACCATAGGGGTTATAATAGGGACTGTTGGTGGGGGTGAATCCAGTAGGGGAGGGAAAAGGAAAGGATGTTAGAAGTAAATATAATCAAAGTACATTTTGTATGTATAAGTACATTTTGTATATATAGCATAATGAAACCCATTAAAAACTGTTTAAAAGGGGGAGTGAAGAGAGGAGTTAGGAAAGAGTAATGGGGTGAATGTGATCAAAGTACTTTTATGCATGTATGGAAATATCACAATGAGCATCTTTGTACAATTAATTGACACTAATTTAAAAAAAAAAATAGCCATGAGTTTCTCTAGTTGTCTCCCGAATGTGTTGCTTTCCCATATAACTTTTTCCTCCCTCAGCCCTTTTTCTTTTCAGTAAGTCACATTGTAGCAGTTTTGTAGCTTGACAGACTGGTCCTGTATGCATTTGTTAATCCTCTTCTTTCTTTACTTGTTGGCAGGGGGCTTGTACATGACAGCCGGCATAATCTCCAGTTAAGGGGCTTGGTGGTGCTGCTTATTTCTAAAGCAGCTGGGCCCAGCAGCGTCAACGATTCCTGTCAGAACTATGACATGGTCAGTGGTATCTACTCATGGTAAGAAGAAATCAGCCTTTCAATATTTCCCTCTACATTGTGTTTTCTTTTACTGAACAGTGATCAGTAGAAGCCATTCTGTGAGTCAAAGACAGATGAATATATATTGTAGACTTTAAAAAATGGATTTTTGCTGTTCCTAATAAGTCTTGACAGTCTTGGCCAGCTCCATGCATACCTCTGCTAAATTTCCTCACACATTTATATCAAATACATCTATTTCTATCTTGGGTATTTAAAATGTTCTATTCATTATTCCCTCTCCCCCCATTATGGTATCATTGTGTCTCTGTAGAGACCTCTGAGTCACTTAGTTCAGAAGTTATGATTTTTAACCTGTTCAAAATGGTATCTAGTTGTATAAAGATTGATGCTACTATCATTTTAGGAGGAATAGTCTACCAGTGCTATATCTTTTACTTGATTTTGCTGATTTTTATGGTAAAGAGGTTTTTACTGGTTACTGGAATAAGAAAATTTTACATCTTACACATTTAGATTTAAAAAAATCACAATTTTTGCTTTAAAATGAACTTAAAGTTTTCAGTTTTATTTTTTAAAAGTCATAGCATATCTTTTTAGTAGCAGCTTAATTTTATTTATTCCTAGCAGTATGCTTGGCACTGGATTAACGTATCTTATATAGAAATGACAATCTGCAGGTGGACTTTGGCATGTGAAATTAAAACCACCCGAAAGATGGGCGTCCGTGTCTCACGCCTGTAATCCTAGCTACTCAAGAGCAAAGATCAGGAGGATCAGGGTTCAGAGCCAGACCAGGCAAGTAGTTTGTGAGACCCTATCTCAAGAAAACCCATTACAAAAAAAGGGCTGGTAGAGTGGCTCAACATGTAGGCCCTGAGTTCAAACCCTAGTACCAAAAAAACAAAACAAACAAACAAACAAAATCCCTAAAAACAAGGAAATTTTCCTCACAAAAAGAAACATTTCTAGAAACCTTGACTTATGGCTAATCAAACTTGTTAATGTACTTGAAACATCAATCTGCATCTTTGATCTTTTATTCTGAGCAGTCTTATCTATAAACATGTTTATTTATTTAGAGATGCCTGTTGCTTATCAGCTATGAAATTAGTGATTCTTCCTCACTAACAAGCAAGCAAAGAAGTATCACTTTGTAGAACTTTCACCATTCATACATACAAGTATCTTCATTAGACCAGCTATCTTGGCATAATTTTCAGTTCTTAATCACTCTGAAATAATTTATATTTGGTTTATGCTTACTCATCATTTTTATGACAGTTATCCTATTCAATCTGTAGGTAAAAGTTGTACTTCTTTTACTCTTGAGAAAACAGATTAAAAAACCTTGAGACTTTTTCAGCTAGCAAATGGGAAAGTTCAGGCTCTAACCATGGATCTCTTCTCGTCTGCAAATCATATGTGTTTTTTCTATCTTTCTAGTCTCTTTCAAAGAATTGATTTCACTTGTAGATTAATCTAGCTATGAAGATAGTATGCCAAAAAAGATCAGAAAGAAACTTGGAAAATCCTTCATATATGTATACCTTTCCTCCAAACTTATTTGTTTTAGAGGTCAAAACTTTATCTTATAAATTTTGTAGAAAACTCTTGGCTAGGTTCAGTCTAGACTCTTAGAGAAAGTATGTAAAGATCTAGAATGAATACAATTAACCCATTTGCCCCTGAAAAGCAAATGAGCCTTTTGTCACCTTATAGCCCATGTATCTCTGTTTCATGTTAGGAATTCCATTAATTTTCAGCCTGCTGACTTTGACCCTGTCTTATTTGTTAATTATCTGTTTGTACATCTGTAACTACACATAAGTAATGAACACTAAATATATTTTATTGTCTCTAATGACCATTGGAAAGTACTACTGTACACATAATAGGTATTCAATTTATTTGCCATATAAGTGAATCTTTCTCATTTTACAGAAGAGATAACCATTACTGAAGTTAAGACTTGTCTAAAGTCTTCTTGGTAGGAAGTGGTAGAGTTCATACTGAAATCCTATTTTTGTTTTGAAGTATGTAGCCATTCTACCATTCAGGGGCTACTATCAATATGTACAGGATGTACCATGATGGTACCTCATATTTCTAATTTCTCATCTAGCTTCTAAGAAACAATTTCTTTGCTTCTAATCCTTCCCACAGTGCATTTGGTAAGTAGTCATCTTAATCTGAGTAGAAGAACATTGCCAAAGAGGAGAAATACATTATGAACATAGAAACTTTCCAAATATCATAAATGACTTTTATACCCAAGTACATAGAAACTACAGTTACATTTAGGGAATAATCCTGGCATGTAGTTCTAGGCTATTTTCTGTAGTCAAACTTGGTATAATAAGTCATGGGTGTTTCACACACTTGTTACTGTAATAAGATAATTTGGTATAGTACTTTGAAAAAACTAATTTATTTCTCTACTTCTGAAGTTATTTGCTTGGATCTTGTTCCCTTATTTATTCAAGTATAACTTTTGCTGGAGGCGTATATCTATAATGCTACAGTGAATTATTTAACATTTGAGGAAAGTACTAATTTGGGAGCTTTTTAATTTACCTACAAACTGCTAAGATTTACATTGTTGGTGTTTTTGTCTCATAAACTTGACTTTGATGTCAGTTAATGGGACCTGAGTAAATTACCTAAGGGACCAAAAGTGAGCTAGGTGACCTCTTTTGTTTGGCCTGAGGATATAAATGCTGCTACAAATGTCTCTAAGTGAATGTATCACATAATGGCCAAGACAGGCAGAATTTAGGCTAAAATGTAATAACTACATTTTGAAACACAGGAAAGAGTACTACATTTATTAAAATGCACTATAATTATCTACCATAGCCTTTTGCCAACAAGACTGTAGGCTATTCCATCAACCCTAACTTGATTGTAAAGCCAGTCAAAAAGTATTATTTAAATTTATCAGTATCCTTAACTATAAATGAGAAAACATTTACAGTTTCCCACTCTATTGATGATTGAACATTTTCTTTTATGTACAAAAGATCAGTCATTACCAAGTATAATATATAATATTAAAAGTTTAAGAGAAAAGGGAGATACTTGAGGTAGTGAGCAGGGAAATGATCAAAATTTGTTATATGCATATATGAAAATATCATAATGAAATCTATTTTATACAGTTTATATATGGTAATAAAATATTTAAAATGCAAAAAGAATAGACTTTTCTAATGTAACATGATTAGTAAAGTTTAAAGAAATTCAGGCAATTTTGCTTTTTTGCTGGGTCTGGGATTTGAAGTCAGGACTTTGTGCTTTGCAAAGAAGTGCTCTACCACTCTATTTTACTCTGGTTATTTTGCAGAAGATGGGATCTTACAAGCTATTTGCCCTGCCTGGCCTCACCATGATCCTCCCCATCTCAGCCTGCTAGTTACCGCTAAGTAATTAGGATTGTAGGCATGAGCCACCAGTATCTGGCCCAGGTGAAAAAAAAAGTTTTTTTTGTTTTTTTTTTTTTTTTTTGGTGGCACTGAAGTTTGAATTCTGGGCCTCATACTTGGTAGGCAGGTGTGCTCTTACCACTTGAGCCACTCTTCCAGACTCTCAGGTGAAATTTTTAATTTGTGGTTCAAATGCGTCATTCCCTGACATTTCCCTACACATTACCTGGGATAGAAAAGACTGAAACAAATATACCAAACATGTTTTCTTTTTTTCCCCTGTACCTGGCTAGGCTGTGTTTACCAGATTCCCCTCCAGTTGGCAGGTCACATGGCAGATCCGTCCAACAGAGTATAAACAGAAGTGATACTTACTATTTCCTGACCATAAAAATCTTGTATTTATGGGCTGGTGGAATAGCTCAAGTGGTAGAGTGCCTGCCTAGTAAGATTGAGGCCTTGAGTTCAAACCCAGTACCACCAAAAAAAAGTCTTGTACTTGTAATACCCCCTGAGCAGATGATCTTGGCCCATTCAAGACAAAAGGTGCCTATATCCCTAAATCACTCTGGGAAGAGAGCCATCTGCCTAGCAGGATCATCCACACTGAATTGATGTATGATCATGAAAATCTATTTATTAAGTCACTTCAATTTTAGTGTTAATCTTTTAACAGTAGCAAGTAGTAGTAATTTATCTTTGCTATTTCTATTAATGCTATCACCATTCTGTCACCTAGTTACTGAGGTGAATTTGGCATTTACACACTTTTACTTTCCATGCCTAAATAAGCCACCAACTCACAAGTTTCTGCAGGTCTCTTCTTTCAATCCATATCCACTATTCTATTTCATACCTTTGTTACTTCATATCTAGATATTAGCAATAGCTGTCTTTCTGGTCTCCTTGCTTCTAGGTGTTCCTCCTTCTAATTTTACCTCTGAGGTCTTGCTGAATTGAATACCCTGAAGTCCTGCTTTGATCTCTCATTAAGCAAATATTTATTAAGTTCTTACTATATGTCAGGCACCATGCCTGTTGCAGAAGATATAAGCTGAATAGTATATAGTATTTACCCTCAGTGACCTTAGCATAAAGCCAGAGAGTCTACAAGTTTATAAGCAACTGTGATATCTGTTATAGAAGCTGTGAACAGAGTATAGATAAGAGTTCTGTGGAAGAAGTAAAGATATTGAAAGAAGGAAATGAGAAAAAATTTTAAAGGAACCATTTGGGCCTCGTAAAATAAGTCATTTATAATGATCTTTGAAGGGAACTAGGAGTTCATCAATCTGAGGAAATCAGATGAGTGAGAGGGCACAGTAAAGTGTGGTTGTATCCTAGACAGAGGAAGCAAGGAACTGGTTGATCAAAGACAAGAGGCATGGAAATACCTGCAGGGTTCAGAACAATGTGGTCTTTGTAATAGGCACTCAGGACTTCCAGGGTAAGGGGGTGGACTAGAAGCTTCCTGTGTATGACACTGTGAATGAGAAGATTCAGGGTAATGAAAGACAGACTACATTCCAAAAAGAGAAAGAAAGGAAGAAATTGGGAACCATAAAAGAGGTGATGATAAAACAGGTGAAAAGC